ATGAATAAATAGATACTTTCTATTGGTCATGTGACCTCGCACGACAGTGGCGCCTTGGTTAGCATGCTCATTTGCGATGTCAGAGGTCGTGGATTTGATTCCTGTCAGTACAAACCCAGTTAGTTGAATGGTCAATCATATTGAAAGCCCTTAGGTCTTTTAACTAAAAGAATATTTTATTTGACTGGATTGAAAAATTTAGTGCTTCTTGACTGAGATGTGAGTCAAAAAGGAGGGGGTGGAACCATGAACCACATGCAAATTAAGGTAACAGCAAAATGCACAATAAATAATGGTTAAACAATTAACCACTCCTACGTTCTAAGAGAAAGTACGAACTGCTAAAAAAGCCTATGACCTTGGGTTAGGTGAAGAAGATCGAATGACGGGTGATATGAGAAAGTCTAATGGTCAAATAGGTCTTAAATATTTGTTCAAATTCTACAAGTGATACTAAAATTTTGTTCTCTAGATTTCCATGTCATATATTAATTAATTTGGATAGTTACTCAAGAAGTATGGATAAAAATTTCTCATCATAGGCACGAGTTACTTGTTTTAATAAATATTGATTGTATATCCTATATGGATAAGTGTAAGCCAAAAAACCGAATCCTTGAAATTAGCACTTAAAACAATTTTACTACTCAATTCAACTTTTGTAAACTATGAACCCTTCAATGAACCAGTATCTACATGGTTAAAGGCATTTATCCGTAATCCGGACGCAAATTATGAAATTTGAATTCTGGAACGTGAATCGTGGAACTGCTCATTAGACAAACATTTTACACCCTGAATCTAAAATTCTAATGAAGGAATTTTCGGAGGTGTCTTATTTAATCACCTTTCTTTATTACGAGCTGAACTTTCATACAATCAAAATTTCTGTGCTGGTGTTTTAAAAACAGCTGTAATGTTGGTATACATTAAAAATACAGCGAATTTTTGAACAATGTTTACAAAACGTCTAGACTCACGCTGCCATGACAACTTACTTTTACCTATGCATGAGTAATCCAAACGCCTTGGGGCTCACTATGGGTCGTCACGCGCATATATATATGTATGCAAATAGTTGGCACACGATGACTAACAGATACCGATAGATATATATCCAATTCAACCATGAGAAAGTGACCCCTTTGAGTTTTATCGGTCCTGGCCTCGTGTAGGCCACTCCTAAATCCTGATAAAGATGCACTCCTTTAAAGTCTAATGGTTTTAAAGGGCTGGAATTGAGATACACACCAAAGGCGTAATGAATGATAGCAGAGTTTAAGGTGCATGACGAAAACTAGGTCATTATTCAAATTGTTATGCAGAGCATCAGAAAAATCGATTCTTCTAGTAGTCACTAAGTTGGCCACTATCCTTATTCCAGAAAAGGAGGAAAATCGTTCCTGCCATTTGTGAGTATTGTCCCTTATGACAATAATTTGGAACTAAAATTTTTATTAAGTCGGCAGCAGTACGCCAACTTACAACTAACTGTCTCCCTGTGCAGAGCCTTTGTTTAAATAATAAAGGGTCTTGTGTTAACTGCACTCGATTGCGCGGAAAGACAAAAGTGACTGATTTCACTTCACGTGTTCAATGAGGAACAATTTACTTCTAGCGCAGAGTGGGCCTGTAAATTAGTACAAACAGATGCAAAAAAGAAAAGATAGCTATACACCAATAGTTTCAACTTAATAAATCTTGTGTTATTCACTAAATTTATTCATTTAAACAAAAATAAAGAAGCTCTAACACACACTTGAGTGGAGATTTTATGCAAAATGTAAACTCTGCGTAATCAGTAATCGAAGAATTGTTTAACCTCTTTTGATTTATGTTACGAGTAGTTCAGTTCTTAGTAATAATTGCTCCACTCTAAAGATGATAACTTCTGTTGTGACCATTGGCATGGCGAAGCAACTAATTTCTTTAATTTAACCTAATTTATGGTCAAGACAAAACAGTTCAAAGTTACTGAATCATCACCGACAGTTATTCAAGCTCCCTGATCCACAAGTCATATGAAAGGCAAGATTTAATGAAATGACACGTAACAGAATGTCGTATCAGCGTTAAAACCAGTTCATTATAAGTTTTTGGGAATGATAACAGCATCTATTCTAACGAGATTGTAAGAGAATGAGTAAGACCCTATTTTCCCGAGTTATTTTTTCCACATCTATTGCAATGCATTCACTTGATCGAATATTATTTTCTGCACTAGCTTTATGCTTATTGCAAAATTGGTACACAAATTGTAACTAAGATAAATCATTGTCATCGATTAGCAGTTATTGTCAATAATTGGTAAAGGTGAGGGGTCAAAGAGATGCGGAGGTTGATATAATTTTTGAACGCGGGTTATACAATATTTGCTTAATGAGCAGTCGAATTTAAAAAAATTAAAGATTCACCAATCCCTCTATCGAGCTAGGCAACGGACAGTTCTAAGCAAGGAATGATAGACTTTGCCGTTTCACTCCAGTTGTGGTGAAGGTGAATCATCTCCCATGGCATTTAACAGTTTACAGTTTCAAAATATCAGAATGAAATCGAAGCCCATGTAGGACAGGCAGAAATGGCAGCCAAAATGATAACTGATAAGAAGACAATGCTTTCTAGGCAACGCATAAAGTATAATACTTTGCAAAAGTTAGTGTGCTGTTACTGCGCCTTCGTCTCCATAACTATATGGGCGTTAACTGAGGTAAAGCAAAAGCTATCCATGTAGACAAATGTTTACACACACTGTACACTACCAAGTACGTTATTACCTCAGAATTTGACTTGGACAAAGGTAGCAACCTCATAAATCCAGTACTGAATCGCTCAGACTCACATGAAAGACGACGTCGTTACCGATATCCGCCTGGAACGGGAACCTGTCGAAATATGTGGCCTTAAATCAAAAGTCTGTGGACAAATCAAAACCGTAATTGTTATCCACTCCTGTCGTTGTCAATCAAATTCTCCAGAACGGAGGATTCAACCCTTCTTCAGATCATCATCTGTTTGCCGGATTTTCGGAAAAAAGCTATTCACTCGGTTTGATTCATTTTCTCAACATATATGACAATTCTGTGGTAAACGAAGTTATAAGGAACTAAGTCACCATGATAGGAAGAAAAAGTACACTTTTTTCAGAACCCATTGTGCAATCTTTCAGATCCGGCGATGAAAGATATCTATAGTAAACAAGTTGACAAAACTTCCGAAATATAGTCAAAACTTGAGGAGAGAAAAGATTGCATCAATAAGAGGTTCAATAAAGATGATCGAAAATCTTCCGGAAGAGAACATATAACCGGAAAAGTAGCGAAGTCCATTTCCCTTCCAGAAAATGTTGCTACGAAAAGACATTCAAGAAGCCAAAGCATTTCAAAATACAGGCAGTTGAGAAACAAAATACCTTAATGTCCCTGTCAGGGATTCAAAGGGAAAACATAGATGTGAGAAAAAAACATCAAGAAATGGATCGAAATTGTAGAAGCTGGCGATAGCCAAATTCTGAGGGTTATCCCCAGGACAGCTTCTAAACACTACAGAAAGCAAGAGGGGTTTTAGGAAACCTGATCGAAGATTTGTATTGCATTCAAGAGCAGATCACAATTATCATGCCCCGTAACCTGGATTATAGATTATTGGTTTCCCACGGTCATACTTGGAGTAAGACAGCCTGAGAAGTCATCGCTGCAGTTATTGGTTAACCAAACAGCCAATCAGTTGGCACATATTCCAGCCTATATAGATTAGGTTCTTTCGTTAATGCAAGATGGCCATTTGAGCGAGGAGTCTTCTCCTATACTCCTCCATGAGTCTGAGTAATTGAGCCAACCAATTAAACGAAGTAATATTAAGCGTGACTTGGTTTCTGATCGATGGACAAGTAAAGGTACTCCCAAATCCCCTTTAATCATTCTCAATTGAGGAAGATTAATTGGGCCATTTCGATTAGAAATGCCAATTCCAATAACACGGATGGTATTGGATAGTAACATATTTAAAGATTTCCTATACACTGTGAGAAGGTGACTTCTTGGGTAACGCCCTTAAATAACAGTTGTGTAAGGGGCTAGATCATCGAATCTGGCAGTTAAGTTTGAGCGAAGAAGGCTTCGCATTGAGTTTTTACGAAAACTCCATCCAGTTCTCTTAAACTAAAGCTTTTTGAATCATCAGACACCAATGGAAACTAGAAGGCAGGTTCCCACAAAGCCATGATTAAGCCAAATCAATTAAAGAAATCGAAAGAAACCAATAATAATGATCTCCATTTCAAATAGCAGAACTGAGCGCCTCAAGGGAATTGGTGCGAAGATAATTTATTGGGAAGAGGGGGATTATATGCAAATCTCCATGGAAATGAAAGTGATTCTTTTGTACTTTGGACGAGATCACTAGTATACAATCCTAGTCATAAAAGGGGCCTCAATCGCACATTTCTCATTACTTTACGCCATATGGAAGAAAGCGTTTATGTAAATGTAATAGACTAAGACACCACTTACTTCCCCCTTATTAAAATCCCATATCCATACCCATACACTTCTGAATAAAATGATTATGTACTTATTTTTTAACGAACCTATCTACTCTATATCAAATTTATTGAGCAAAACGACCATATTCAAATGATATAGGGTCAAGTAAACATTCATTAATTGAAAATGAGCTAACAGGCAATAGATATGCGTAATAAACTCGATATATTATAGCGAACAAAACGCGTGATAAAATAATGAAGTCGAATTTTCATTGGTCAATACCGCTTAACCTTGAACCAATTAAAATTAGCACAATCTCTAAGTGCGTTTCAGGTTGGGTGAACAGGAATTAGTTTCTGTATACTTAGAACACATAAAATACAACAGAATGGATTATATATCTATTTAAAAATGAAAGTAGCGTGTATAACAATAGGCCGAAGGGAACATATCAAGCACAGCCAAGTTAAAATCCGAATCAAATAGACGGGGTAGAGTAGGCCAAAAGAAAGGGGACTAAAATCCAGAACAACATGCCTTTTTAGGTTCCTTGTTATCCTGTTGAAGAGGAATAGTAGGCCTACTACCCAACGGAAGGGTATGATCGGAATTCGCCGAGGACGTTCCAACAATTTCAAGAATTTCTAAACAAAGTTAACATACGAAAAATAGAGTTCTTACTTTCAAGAAGGGTGTAAAAAGCGTGGTCGACATTAGTTGAATCTAAGGCCGATGTTTCAGTAAAATGAAGACCAGCACCTTCGGCAAATTGCTTGGCCTCTTGTGTGGAAACGGTACGCAGATGGCGCAAATCGCATTTATTACCGACTAATATCGTAACAATGTTTTGATCGGCATGATGTTTAAGTTCTTTCAACCATATGTTCACATTTTCAAAAGTAGTATACTTAGCTATATCGTATACAAGAAGGGCTCCAACAGCGCCACGATAATATCTAAAGAATAATGAAGATGGAAAATATTTAACTCACGCTGACGTTATTGCCCTGTATCTTTCCTGACCGGCTGTATCCCAAATTTGGACCTTTATTCCTTTATCACCTATCTTAACACTCCTAGTTGCGAATTCTACACCGATTGTCGTTTTGCTCTCCAGGTTAAATTGATTGCGGGTGTATCGAGAGAGCAGATTACTCTTCCCCACACCTGAATCTCCTATTAATACGACTAAAATGCAATGTCAAATTAACTTAATGAGAAAGAAATGACTACTTTTAAATAGATAATCATATGAGTCTTCATCGTTTGCCATATTTAGTAAAAGTTTATCGTAAGACTGAGTATAGAACCAAAAAACGTCAAAGTGTTATGATTTGAGCAAGGCGCGTTGATGTAAACCAATCGCATACAAGGCTGAATAGTGATGCTCATTGCATGATTAATAAATATGGTCATTCAAACATTGATTACCAATGCAGATTACAAATAAATACTCGGTCTCTTTGTTATTTTCAGTCTGTATTATATATGGCAAGTTTATTTATTTGTATAAAAAGCAATTTCAGTCTATTTTATCTCAAAATTTAAATTGTTGCGATTATAAATGATATTTTAATTCTTCATATATTGTTGCACAGTTTAAATATAAGCTTATTAATGAGATTCGCTTTTAAGCATGACACGATAAACGAATGTAGCCACTAATGACAAATTTACATCTGTAAAATACATTAATAAGAATATAATAATTGTTAACATTTTCTACTATTTAATTATAGTTTAGTCACCATTATTTGACAAAAGGATAATAAATGACTTATTGTATGCTGGTTTAAGCAAAATGCGTATTGCCTGATTATGATGCTTATGCAGATTCGCCAATGAACATAAAGCAGGAATTTTCGTTGTCTTCTAATCGTATCATCATGTTTTGAATTTAAGGTTTCTATTATATTTTTGCTATGGAAGAGGTATTTAATCCATTTCGATTTATTTATTCACTATAATTTGTGTTTCCCGGTTGACTTGGATTAAGGGATAAGATCGGACCGCATTTCCACTAAGACACTTAATTTAACAAATCAATGCCTTATGTAGGAATGCAAGTTGTTTTTCCTACTTCTGTGTTTGGGAATTTAATCACCAACATGATGATAACGATATGTGTAAGACATTGTTATATTTTCAGAAGCAGATAACTTACTCTATATGAAATTGTCAATATTTGGCCTATTAAACTATCGACTAAATTCAGTTTTTTTCATTATACTGTCCTTACACATTCCTGAAAACTTCGAATATCGCCCTAATTTAACTTGAGGAATTTTCGTGTCATTACTATGTATCAATTGGATAAAATACTAATAATAGCAATATTATGTCAAAAATAAAACCTTATATTTAATTTAGATTGGCATTACACTCCATTCATGCTGCATAAAGTGTAAAGTTAATTCTACCACGAGTAAAAATTAGAAATTACTTGTATGAACAACGATCAGAGCATACTAATCATTAAATAAGCCTCTAGGTTTAAAGTTTTTAAGGTAACTAAGCCAGGAAAATGCTAGCATTCAATTTAGTCCTCGAATCTCATGGGGAGATAGGCACTGATTAAGGGCTTTGGAGGAAATCAAATTAAAAGTGTAGACTTATTTGAAAATAAGAGTATCAAAAAATTCTGTTCAGGATCAATAATGATATTTTCACCAAATTGAAGCAGCCACTACGTAAATAAGACTTGACAAAGTCTTAAAAATCACCTTCCACTAAAATTATTGAGTATTAGATCGCCCTGAAATTTTCTTGGCAAAGGCAAGAATATCGTGAACACGGAATGTACAGAGAAAATATCAAATTATGACCAACTTCAAAAGATGATCAGTATTTGAATTTTGAATGAATACTATTATCTGATTAACTGAGAAGGCCTCTAAACGCACGACTGCACATGCTCGCAAAGCGATCAATAACAAGACCCCACCTTCCAAAGTTTTCCATCGCGTGATAGCGTTATACACTTAAAAAATCATTGTAACTTATTTCTGTACAGTAGAATAATAAATTGAGGAAAATACCACTGGATGAAATCGCCAACTTTTCATGCCGCAATAAGTTCTGATAATTCAAGGTCGAGCTCTATTTTTTATATTTATTAAATATTATTATATTATTACGATAAAGTGACTGGATAGTACAAAAGTAATGAAATTCCAGTTGTCTGATTTCAGTGGAGTTCTTAACACTGAAAACACGATTCATTCGAGTTTGTCGTAATGGTTCCACGAACTGTATTAATCGATGTGCCCTATTTGTCTACAAAGTCGTCTATCATGTCTACGCTAAAATTATGCACGGGAAAATAGGCTTCGGATAAAATTGTTTAATTTAATAAAGACTCTGGGAGTAAATGGATTATTTTCGTGTTTTACTAAAGTCAAATACTGCCCTGAATTGTGTCATAGGTTGAAGTCAACAAATTCTTTCACGTTATGAGTGGTTAAAATTAGCCAAAATTCCTGGTGGAAGTTTAATCATTGAAAAAAATGCAAAAAAATAAACATACTCAAAAATGAAAAGAGATTAGAAGACGGCATTCCTATCTCAAATTTTCGATACCCCAGCCCAGAGACTAAGGGAAAACACAAACCAGAGAGGTGTTGATCCATTTACGTCCATAGCCCTTAGATAATATTTAAATTTTTGTCCCCATAATATGTGTCACGTCCACCTTGGCTGTAGGTAAAACATCTAATGCACCACAATTTGTACTTCCTGATTTTGAGCTCAGTGAATCATCCTCCCTTTGGATATACTGAGTGGATAGCGCATAACAACCCCAGGGTTTCTGAGCTTAGAAAGCACTTGGTCGAGTGGAATTTTCAGTCCTGCTCACATACCTGACAGCATACTTTATTTGCGAAAATATTTAAATTTTTATAAATAGAAATAATAAAAGTTCTTTCTGTGAAATCTAATATACTCAACTTTGACCACCTTAAATAGGTGGAGCATATCGCCACGACTTCTATAAAATCAATATTGATCTACTCACCCGGATAGATGATAGTAAAAAAATCAATTACTAAAGAACTACTAGCCAAAGCGTTTAGTCATAAAAAGTGAATGATGTTTAAGTTCAAGGTCAAGTTCGTCGACAGGCGAACGAATGCCCAGTACAATCAAACAATTTAGTGTTAATTTCGCGCCAAAAGAGTGCGATTTCTTATTGGAAAATCACAGGAATCAGCTGAAATCAACTTATTTCCGATTATTGTTATCTTTTCTTTGAGCCATATTTTGACATATTTTTTGGAAAGTGAGGCTAGTGGGCTGCACATTGTTTTAGAATAAGAACAAATTTATCAGATGTAGAAGTAACAGAATTCGAAAGATCTGATAAGTATATTACTTTAATGAGGAATAATAGAGAGAGAACAATGAAAGGGAGGGTGTAGATAGGAGGTGGTAGAAGCCGTGTGCGCAACAATTTTCCCCACTCTGGTCTCCATATGTCCTATTCAATTGGATTTCCCCTCTTCCTCCTTCCCTGTCCTTGCCATGACTACGAGCTATTTATTTCCCATGAAGACTTGCCTACCTCACTTTCAAGCAACCGCGCGCGTGTGTGTGCGTTTTAATATTTGTTCATTTTTCCACTCTTAAGTAAGAACAATCTTTTCATGATTAGCCCATTTTAGTAAGCTGGGCCGAGAATGTAATAAGCTGCTGATGGAAAAGATCTGGCTGAAGGACCTGATTGTAGAGTACCTGGTCAGTAAACGTTTGAGAGAAAAGTACAGGAAGACGAGTTGAGAAAATCAGAGCACAACACTTAGGACCTTCCTATTTTTAGAATTGACAAAGCCACTTGAGACAGGTTAAACGTAGAAAGTTCTTTGGCAAATACCTGCTTGAGTCTCCTTGGTGGTTCGGAAGACATGCCGTTTACACCTGACCAAGAGCCAATTACCATTTGGACTTGATCTTTTGTAGCCTAATAGACCAAAGAAGTGTATAACTTGCTTTAAGATTGTAGGACCCGCGTAACATGACTTATAAGTCTGCCCAATCTCTCTGTGTTTTGGGCACCTAGACTCATACCTCTGCCTGATTTGCTATTCTCCCATACAGGAACGAAGAACCCGCAATCCGTTAAACAACTTCTCACAACTCGGGTTGTCCTTGCACAGTACTGTTTCTCCCCACCCCCTTCCCTCAACCCCTGTCCTCTTACCCTTTTATAACCGCCTAATTACAAGTGATCCTTCCCAAGCGGTCTTCCCAATGAAGAAAGACTGATGTGTTCTATTAGCCTTTGACAGCTCCTCAGTTTTTTAGAGGGGGGGGGGGGGGGGGGGGGAGGAGGGATTTCCACCCTAATTTGGTCATGCCATTAAAGTGGCTTTCTTGATTTTATTCGACTAACTTTGTGTGTTTTCTTTGACTTAATTTTTTAATGTCAACAAAACAGTTCTGTTTTACGTAAATCATAAAAATAGACTGATACTACGTTATTACGACAATCATAATATATGATCTACAGCACATCACTTTATGACCACATGAATGCAAAAATACGCATTTCATAAAAATTGAGCTTTGCGTTAAAGGGATCTCTTAATGTTTTTATTTATGGTTTAACCAGAAGTCTGCAAAGTTGTAATTTGTGTTCCAAAGATGGTGCGCTCGCCAACAGAGAAAGCTCTAATTTAGAGTGAGGCTACTTTAGGTGAGAGGCCAAATTAGGGCTAGACGTCTCAACATAGAACCGATGGTGTTCTTGCTGTCAACAGGCAGGAAGATCAAAAGTGATGAAGTTGATGAAGGAGGTTTGAACGTCAGAACTGATGGATAACAATCCTGTGAAATGAGGTCCAAAAAGGCGGCTTAGAGGTTTCATGTCCTTGCTTTTATCAACATGGGAGCAATACAACGAGAGAGGGCCCGTGTGTACTGCAAACATTTATACTTTTTGTAAGTGGGGTGTGCGATAGACTTACCTCCACGTGGTGCACCCTGGGCAACGTATACTCATACGGCAAAAAAGTCCATAAATTGGCAGTTGACTTCGGACTTCAAACTACCATGACCGCATTGGACTTCATATTCGAATAATTCCACAGTATTCACCTCACCTTTCATCTACTTTTGTATCTGTCTGTCTCTTTTACGTCTGTGAATCATTATTCTTCCTCCTCTCGACATTTTACCACTTGGATGTTCCTCTTCCTTTCTGTGAAGCCCGAAGTCAACTAAAGGGCTAATGATACCTATCATTTATTTTATTTATATCAAATGGCAGGCGTTTTGATAGTTATCATTAGCCAT